CAGCAGATCCCTGCAGTGCGTTCCCGCGCCACTCCTCCCCGGAAAGGAAGGGGAGTCTCCCCGGATCTGCTGCTTGTTGGGTCCCTGCTGGAGGAGCAGTGGCCCGACTGGGCCGTGGATCACAGTTTATGGCAACCCCGAGCTGAGAGCCCGCGCCTTGGCTCTGTCTCTGCAGCCGGCTTCCCCACTCTGATACCTGGGAGCTCTGGCGCACTCAGGCACCCCCGGTCTTTCTGTGACCCCAAGGGTCCTGAGACCACACTGTCCCGGGAGGATTCCACGCCCTGCTTAGCCACTGCAGCGACGTCCCTCCACCGAGCCAACTTCTAAAAGGTCTGATTTTGTGCTCCGTGGCTCTATCACTTGCCAGAAGCGGCCGGCGGAGGCCCCTCCCCCGCCGTCTATCCTCCCGAATATCGCCTCGGATTCACTTCTCCGCACGTCCAGTAAGTGGTCGCTTCTCTGTTCAGAGAGTTGTTGCTACTCTCCTCTTCGATCTCCTGTTGAGTTCGTAGGTGTTGAGAATGGTTTGATCCCTATTCAGCTGAATTCCTGAGACCAGACGAAATCTAGGTCTCCTACTCCTCCGCCATCTTGCTTCACATCTTTCCTTTTAAAGATTTATTTATTTATTTGAGAGAGAGTGCGCTCGAGTGGGGGAAAGGGCAGCGGGAGAGAGAGAATCCTCAAGCAGACTCCCCACTGAGAGTAGTGCCCAACACTGGGCTCGACCCCACAACCCGGGATCATGACCTGAGCTGAAATCAAGAGCCAGCCACTTAACTGACTGAGCCACACAGGTGCCCCTATATACCACATCTTTATTCATTCATCTATCAATGGGCACTTGGGTTGCTCCCACATCTTGGCTTTTGTTTTTTTAAGATTTTATTTATTTGACAGAGAGACAACAAGACAGGGAACACAAGCAGGGGGAGTGGGAGAGGAAGAAGCAGGCTTCCAGCTGAGCAGGGAACCTGGTGGACTTGATCCCAGGACCCTGGGATCATGAACTGAGCCAAAGGCAGACACTTAATGACTGAGCCACCCAGGAGCCCCTCTTGGCTTTTATAAATAATGCTGCAATAAACTTAGTGGTGCATATATCTTTTTGAATTAGTGTTTTTGTTTTCTTTAGGTAAATACTCAGTAGTGGAATTACTGGATCATATGGTAGTTCTATTTTTAATTTTTTGACAAATCTCCATACTGTTTTTCATAGTGCCTGCACCAATTTGCATTCCCTCCAACAGTGCATGTGGGTTCCTTTTTCTCCACATCCTCACCAACATTTGCTAATTCTTGTCTTTTTGATTTTAGCCATTCTGACAGGTGTACAGTGATATCTCCTTGTTGTTTTAATTTGTGTTTCCCTGATGACTAGTGATGTTGGGCATATTTTCATGTGTTTCTTGGCCGTGTGAATGTCTTTGGAAAAACATCTATTCAGGTCTTCTGACCATTTTTAAATTGGATTATTTGGGGTTTTTTTGGTGTTGACTTGTATAAGTTCTTTATATATCTTAGATATTAACCTCTTATCAGATATATCATTTGCAAATAAATTCTCCCATTCAGTAGGTTGCCTTGTTCTGCTACTGGTTTTCTTTGCTATGCAAAAGCTTTTTATTTTGTTGTAGTCCTGATAGTTTAATTTTGCTTTTGTTTCCCTTGCCAGAGGAGACATCTAGAAAAATATTTCTACAGCTGATGTCAAAGAAATTACTGCTTATTTTTAAAGCAATTTTATAGTTTCAGGTCCACATTTAGGTCTTTAATCTATTTTGAGTTTATTTTTGTGTATGGTGGAAGAATGTGATCCAGTTTCATTCATTTGCATATAGCTGTCCAGTTTTCCCCACACGCTTTGTTGAAGAGACTATCTTTTTCCCCATTGTATATTGTAGATTAATTGACCCTAAAAGTGTGGGGATCAATTCTGTTCCATTGAACTATGTGGCTATTTTTGTGCCATACTGTTTTGATTATTACAGCTTTATAGAGTATCTTGACATCTGAGGTGTGATGCCTCCAGCTTTGTTCTTCTTCAAAATCGCTTTGGCTATTTAGGGTCTTTTGTGGTTCCATACAAATTGTAGGATTATTTATTCTAGTTCTGTGAAAAATATTGTTGGTATTTTGATAGGGATTGCATTAAATCCTTAGATTGCTTTGGACAGTGTGGATATTTTATCAATATTGTTTCCTTCAATCCATGAGCATGGAATATCTTTCCATTTGTTTGTGTCCTCTTCACTTCATCCATCAGTGTTTTATAATTTTCAGAGTACAAATCTTTCACTGACTTGGTTTTAAGTTTATTCCTAGATATTTTATTCTTTTTGGTGCAATTATAAAGGGGATTGTTTTCTTAATTTCTTTCTGCTACTTCATTATTATTGTATAGAAATGCAACAGATTTCTGAATATTAATTTTGTGCTCTGCAACTTTACTAAATTCATTTATCAGTTCTAGTAGTTTTTTGGTGGAGTCTTTAGAGCTTTCTATTTATAGTATCATGGCGTCTGCAAATAGTGAAAATTTTACTTCTTCCTTACTAATATGAATGTCTTTTATTTCTTTTTTTTTTTGTCTGATTGGTGGGGGGGGGCTTCAGTATTATGTTGAATAAAAGTGGTAAGAGTGGATATCCTTGTCTTGTTCCTGATCTTAGAGGAAAAGCTCTCAATTTTTCACCATTGAGGATGACGTTAGCTGTGGGTTTTTCATATATGGACTTTATTATGTTGAAGTATATTCCCTCTAAATCTACTTTGTTGAAGGTTTTTATCATGAACGGATGTTGTACTTTGTCAAATGCTTTTTCTGCATCTTTTGAAATGATCATATGGTTTTTATCCTCTCTGTTATCAATGTGATGTATCACGTTGATTGATTTGCTAATACTGAACCACCCTTACACCCCAGGAATAAATCCCACTTAATCATGGTGAATGGTGAATAATTTTAATGTGTTGCTGGATTTGGTTTGCTAATATTTTATTGAGGATTTTTGCATCTATGTTCATAAGAAATATTGGCCTCTAGCTTTATTCATTTTGTATTGTCTTTGTCTGGTTTGGGTATCAGGGTGATGCTGGCCTCATAAAATGAATTTGTAAGTTTTCCTTCCTCTTCTATTTTTTGAAAAAGTTTGAGAAGAACAGGTATTAACTCTCCTTTAAATGTCTGGTAGAATTTACCAGTGAAACCATCTGGTCCTGGACTTTTGTTTGTTGGGAGTTTTTTCATTACTGATTCAATGTCATTGTTAGTAATTTGCCTGTTCAAATTCTCTACTTCTCCTGATTCAGTTCTGGAAGGTGATATGTTTCTAGGAACTTAACTGTGTCTTCTAGGTTTTCCAATTTGTTGGCATATAATTTTTCATAATATTCTCTTATAATCTTTCATATTTCTGTGGTATCTGTTGTTCTTTTTCCTCCATTTCTGATTTTATTTGAGTCTTCTCCGTTCTCTTTTTCAATGAGTCTGGCTAAAGTTTTATCAATTTTGTTGATCTTTTCAAAGAACTAGCTCCTGGCTTCATTGATCTGTTCTATGGTTTCTTAGTCTCTATTTCATTTATTTCTGCTCTAATCTTTATTAGCTCCTTCCTTCTACTGGCTTTGGGCTTTGTTTTGTTTTATTTTCCTAGCTCCTGCAAGTGTAAGGTTACGTTGTTTATTACAGATTTTTCTTGCTTCTTGAGGTAGGCCTGTATTGCTATAATCTTCCCTTTTAGATCAGCTTTTTCAGCATTTCAAAGATTTTGGACTGTTTTCATTTTCATTTGTCCCCATGTATTTTTTTTTTATTTAGAGACATCTTAAATGGCAATTAAATGCACCCCTTGTAGTACAATCAATGTACATAATTTAATATGAGTAACCATGATTGAGTTCATGCATGTGCAGCCAAACAACAGCCACCATGCAGTTGCCCCCACGCCCCCACTCCCCAGCAGAGAGTGATCTCAAGGAACATTCCATTTCAGAGTTATTAAGCTGAGGAAAAAATATGTTTCTTACAATGAATGACTCAGGAAATTTGAAACTGTAAGTGAGCAAGAGGGTACCCAACCTAGCAAATGCTGAGTAAATTATACCTTTTTGACAGAGGGGCAGGTGTTGATAGACGAATATAAGCCTTCAGTGCTTACCATGTGATAGCTATGGTATTCACTGTTTCCTATACATCACTGCATTGAGTTGGGTCATTTTATCTTCATCTTACAGATGAGGAAATTGAGCTCAGAGATGTTAAGTAACATGCCCAAGGTCTTAAAAGTAGGTGACAGAGCCCAAATATGAATCTGGATGTGTCTGACTCCAGAGAGTTCTTTATATTCCCACAATACCAGTTTCCATAGTGGCCTCATGGCACTTGAGTTCTGATGGTGATTATGGTCGCTGTTCACCTGGCCCAGGTATTCCTGAAGGGATTCTTTAAGTCAGAATTTTATGAAGAGGAGAAGGTATTGTCTATAGTGACTGCAAGCACAATATGGAGAACTTGACACAAGTGATAAAAGAGTGAGCGTAACCATATGTAAGGTTATTCATTCATACAACTACCACCAGCCGAAAAGTTAGTAATCGAGGCTACTCTGGCTTTTTACAGGAAGAAAATAACTCGGGCTTCTTATGACCCTCCACTTTACAATAGTTATTTGAGACTGTATTACTTCCTTTGTCACATTATCAAATATCTTCCTTGGCTATAAAAGCCCAGGATTCCACTGTTTGACAGTTTCAGGCCAACCCTGAGCTATGAACTTTGGGGAGTGGAACCACTCCCCAAAAGACCATGATTAGAATCATTGACAACAGCTCAGCTCAAATATAGACAGCAGCCCTAGGAGCACGTCACCCACCTTGCTTAGGTAGAAAAACTCTTTCTAAGACATGGACCTCTCAGGTATGAAATGAAAGTAAGGATTTGTATGGTTTTTCCTTTGTGTACACTTTATTTTCTATTTTTGTTCCCTTTGCAAAAGACTTCGTCATGAAAAGGAGGAAGCCCAAACTGAAATGAGTTAAGAACTTCATCTCCGAGAGAGGATTGTGACTTGGCCCTGAGTTGAGGTGAGATTTGTTGGTGCGTACTGATGAGACCAGATTAAGCTCTACCTTGTTACACCTTCTCCTTCCCTTTCTCCATTCTCTCTTCTGTTCCTTTTTGACTTACTTTTCAAGCTTTCTTTGCCTCTTCCCCTCATCTGGGAACTCAGTGTACCAAGGATGCTGCTCACAGTGGTCAACTTTTCTAGATCTCCAGAGGAGGGGGCGCATGAACTGATATGAGAGAATCTAAGCTCAGAAGGATACAAAAGTGTAAGAAATCACAGCTGTTCTGGAAAATGAAGGGTGAACAATTGCTGTGACTTTGCTTGTCACCCTGACCCAAAAGGATGCTGACCTTTGTTCTCCTTCTGCTATCATACCAGCTTTCATTTAAAAAAACGCTCTTTTCTAGTGATTTCTTGTTGTGTTCCAGGAGATTCCCCATATATTTAGCTCCCAAAGATCCATCTGATGCTTTGATCACTTGCTATGTCTTCTGGTTCTCTAAAGCAGCTTCACCGTCTTTCAACAAAGTGATGATGGAATAGATGCCTTGTGCTATTGGATAAGTTGGGAAGGAGAGAAAATGCAGATGACAAGCCTTTCTGTGTTTTTTTCCTACCATCCCATCACTATGAGGATTCTTCCATTGCTGTCGTAAAGCTCTTTTCTTGGAAACCTGGGGTGACTAAATAAAACCTTTTTGCGCGTTAACCCTCAGACCTTGTCTAACTCCTCCATATCTTCTTTTACATCCTCTACCCTCTCCTCTATACCTTTTACTTCCTCTTTCTTTATATTATTATTATTTCCATTAACTTCTTTAAAATAATCACAAACATACAGAAATATTGCAAGTACAGTACAAAGAACTTTTTTCCCCAAATCTTTTAAGAGTAATTTGCCAATTTGATGCCCCGTGACCCCCAAATACTTTAGTTTGTGTTTCCTACAACCAAGGACATTCTCCTACATGGCCAAAATTTAACCATCAAAATCAGAACATGAACATTGTGTAATACCATCATTTAATCCTGAGACCCCACTCAAATTTTACCATTTGTCCCAATAATGGGCTGCATAGCTAACAGATCCTGTTCAGAAGCTCAATTGCAGTTAGTTACCACGTCTCTTTAGTCTCCTTCGGTCTGGAATGGTTTTTTAGTCATTCTTTGACTTTCATTATGTTGACATTTTTGAAGATCACAGACCAGTTATTTTGTCAAATATCCCTCAAATTGGATTTGTCTGATATTTCCTAATGGTTGGTTTCGGGTCATGCATCTTTGGGAAGGATATCACAGGAGAATGCTCTGTGCTTCTCATTATATCCTATAAGGTGATGCACCATTTTGATTTGTCCCATTACTGGTAGTGTTCATCACTCCACTATGATGGTGTGACTTCTTCACTATAAAGTTACTTTTTCCTCCTTTGAAATTAATAAGTATGCTGGTAGAAGGTACTTTGAATGATGTAAATTCTCAGTTCTTCCCCAAACTTTTAATTTATTCATTTATTTATATCAGTATAAATTCTCATGGTTTCCTATTTTATTTGATCAGTTCGCATGTATGTAACCAATTACCCTCCTCTTCCACCATCCTCTCTCCTGCTCGGACATCCTCCTCACCCTGCTAGGTCCTGATTTCTTACACTGCACCTCCCTTCTCCTGACAACAGAGGTCTTCTTGCCTCCTTTGGGTTCTGAGCCAAGGCTCTCCACCCTCCCAGTACAGATCTCTTTGTCCCAGCTAATGGATCTAGGACAAAACTGTTCAGGAATAAAAGGGAATAGGAAGAAGGAGGACACCTTCTGTATTCTTTGGTGCTCCCTCCCTTTCCTCCTTTCCCTCTCTCCTGACCTGTTCTGACCCCTCTCACTCTTGCCACTTCTCACGTCCATCTTTCCAAGAACTCAAGGCAGTATTGAACCATGGGCGAAGGCATAATCAGTCAGACTATGAAGGTTTGCATCCTGGCATGGAGACTTGGGTAAGTTACTTCCCCTCTCCAAGCCTCAGCTGCATGCATGAGCACCTTAAGAGTGCTATTTGATAGTATTTTCGATAATGCATGTAAAGTCTTTGCTGCCTGCCACATATCAAACACTAAATAAATTTTATTTTTATTTCTCATCCCCTATGTTTTAAATGGTGGTAGTGGTGGTGGTGGTGGTGGTGGTTTTCTCTCTCTCTCTCTCTCTTTTCCTGAATGCTCTTTCTGTCTCATTATTTTTACACTTTAGCTTCACTGAACTATTTTACTTACTTGCTTTTCCTGATTCTTTTTACTATCCCTATGTTTGTTCATGCATAGATGTGCTAAAGGGAGGCATTGAGTTGCCACCAGCAGGAGGTCTGATGGGGAATTCCTGTGCCCAGAGTCATTGCTCATAGGATGTCAGGTAGCTGTGGTCTCTGCAGCCCGTGACCCTGACTGGGACAGCAACAAGACATGTCCACTACTTACCTACTTACTTAGCTTGAACAAAAGGGGAAAACAAGCCTCTGAGAAAGGACTGAGGTGTAACTATATGCTCCCAGTGGAACACAGGACAGCTACTTGCCAGTTAAGGACCCCTCCTCTAACTGACATAGGCTTGGTGAAGAGGGAAGGGGGTGACCTTTTGAACATATGAACAGAATTACATTCTGAGGCTTTGTTCCCCTCTTGGAATTCTGTCATTTCTGGCTGATAGAAGGTGAAATCCCCTGTTCCTTGTTGAAGCAATTTCTGGAGAGAGTCAGAGCGAGAGAATGGAGAAGATAGACAACAGTCATTGATTAGGTAGAAAGCCACTATTTACCTGTCAACCTAGAGCTAAGCATCAGTCAAGGGTGAATGGTCAGGAAAAGATGGTTTCAGTTTAGTATAGTTTTGATACCCTACTTACCAAAAAAAAAAAAGTATTCGAGAATTCTACATAATGGGAAGGGTAGTGGTACTATTAATTAGACAGAAAATGACAGTTTGGGGGATGTGACACATAAGTTTCATGACCTCCTAGAGAGGCCTTTTCTAACTACCTTCATTAATTAGGGTTGCCAGCCCCACACCCCAGGCTGCATAGGGGCACGATCTTACAGTCATGTTCAGATGTATCACCAATGCCCAATGCAGTGCCTGGCATATCATAGATGTTGATAAAATTTGTTGAATTAATGAGTAAATGAGGGAAATTTATTATATTAAATTTTCTCTGTATCTGTTCATTGTGTTCCCATTCCCTCGACTTTCTAATGTTTGTATGTAAGCACCATGAAGAAGAACAATAGGAACTCTACCACAAGGATCAATGAGCAAGATGCCATCTCCATCCCACCCTCCCAAGATCCAGGAGATCTTCAAAATATGTTGAATGGAGGAGAGTATGCCCCTTTTGTATCTCCTCCCATATTAGAGAGCAATTTTATCCAGGTAAATAATATTTGAGCCCTGAATTAAGTTCCAGTAAGTTCAGTGATTAATTTTCTCAAAGAAATTGAAAAGATTAAGAGGAGAATTATTTTAAATGTGATAAAGGAATGCATGAGACAAAGGGAACAATTTTGGGACTTTAACCAACCTAAAATAATTATAATGTTAAAAAAAATTCATTTCAAATTTTCCCAGCAAACTCTCACCTAGGAATTCTGTTTTAACTCCATCATAATTGTCATTCTATCATAATCTTCCCAAAATGACATGAAGAGATTACAGTAAATTCAGAACATCCTACCACAGGAAAGCTTTCAGATAGCTCCTTTCTTAGATTTAGAAGACATTTTAAAGAATAACATCTATGCCACAACTGGGTATTTAGCTCTTAGTTCTAAAATTAAAAGATAATTGTCAAATTGTGAGGGAGAAGAGTTTTCTTCTCATAAAAATATACCTACATTATGAATGAAACTTCATTTCAATGCATTCGAGAGCAGTTCTCACTTTTCTCTAAACATTCAACATTAAAACCTTCAGACAACATTAAAGGGGAAATGAGTTCACTGTTGTAGGCCATACCCCTAAACCACACAGTAAGGCCACAACCAAGTGTAACACAAAACACACCCATTCAAGCAGCTCCTCAGCTGATTCTACCGAGAGGAGACAGGGGAGACAACAGACACTTCTTCTTCCATAAATGTGTTCTCTGCCCTGATGCCTTGGGCTTGAAGGAGACCTCCCACCTCCAGAACATACACCCCCAGAGGCAGGTGTTTAAAGAACACATTTAAGTAATGCCTGGAACACATGTGATAGGTCATGATTTGATGATTTTACCTTCTATATGCTTCTTTCCTACTAATAATCTTCTTATTTTATTTTTCACACTTCTTCCTACTCCCTTTTCAAATAACCTTTTGCATGCTCTAATGAACCCTGGGGGAGGTAGGTAGCACTCTATAGACAGACATGCTGCATATCATAATTGGGTGAGGTATTCCCTTCAACATACACAACCTCTCACGCACGGTTAGTATGTCTTTGGCAGCAAGTTGCCACAGGTCCCTGACCCGACTTTAAACAAAAAAGAACAACAGTTATGTCAAAGTAAAAGAGCCACAGGCATCAGCTCACTTGCAGGGAGTCTTCAAGGACCCAGGTCCTCTCTTGTGCTCTATCCCCCTCGAGTTAGCTCCCCTCAGGACATTAGAGGCAAACAGAACAGTGACAGTTGCCAGAAACAGAAGAGATGCTCTCATCATAGCAACTTTCTGTGAGGACTGAGAAACCTTTCCCAGAGCCACCAGGAGGCCCCCACTGTCTCATTGGCCAGGCCTAGGCCACATTGCCCTGCTGAAAGCAAGCACTAGCAAGGGGATGAAATCACCATGACCAGTTGAGGTTTATCAGTATTTAGCCCCTGAGCCAGAGCACCATCCCTCAGGGGCAGTACCAGATGGATTCTGGATTCTGTTAATCAGGCATGGCTTTGGGCAGGTCCATAGTATGGGCTGCAACCTCTTTCTGAGGGGAGATGTGTGTGTGTGTGTGTGTGTGTGTGTGTGTGTGTGTGTGTGTGTGTGTGTATATATATTTTTTTTAGTGATTTTTGTGTGTGTTTTTGAGTTAATGTACAGCTGAGAAACCAAGTGTTGCCCCTCTCTGGCTTCCTTCACATACCTGTCTGGCCAGTTTCCAGTGTTCTTTTCTTCCAACTGGCAGAGATTTTACTGGCCAAGATTCTTGGACTTTGGGATTTTTGCATATGCTATTCCTCTGCCTGAAAATCTCTCCTGTCCACCCAGCCAGTTTAACTCCCACATTGTTCGGGTCTCAGCCAGAGGTCTCTTTCTCAGAGATTTCTCTGACCCTATCTCTGGGGTGTGCTGGAGCTGGCTGACTAGTAAGTGTCCAGGAAATTTGGAAGTCCGTCGTTAAACACAGGTATTATTAAAAATTAAATCATATAAACTCATATACTCAAACCTCATTGTTCCTATTATTTTACAACATTTTACTATTATTTATGCTCTTAAGGTTACGCATAAAAGAGTGACAAAGGTCAATGAAGACTTCTGTGAGCATCAACTGACTATACTGAAATTAAAATAAAGCTTTGTATATAGCATATTTGTAAATAATAAACATGTGCATATCTTCTAAGAGATAGTTGTTACACATTTACCAGCACACCACTACCTGTCTCCCCTCTTAAATCAAGTCTCCTGCTATATGCCTTACAGCACAGCACCCTGAACTTGTACTTGGTAATACTTCCTGCAATAATAATTAGTGACATATTTATTTAATGTTCACCTTCCCTGATAGAACCCCCACGGCCCAGGGACTATGTCTGTCCATTCACTGTGGTATCTCCAAGAATTCACATCAGCAAGTGATTGAACAAATGCATCATCACGGTTCATTTCTACTTTATTTCCTACACTGCTCAGGTAAGTGCGGTTGTCGGGGCCATGCACTTTAGCAGAAAACTCCTCTTCCTGTTCTCTGCATTAGGTTAACAGGAGAGGTGAATCCATTTACCTTCATAACCGAGCCAACTGGGTGACTGTAGGCATCTGCTCTTCCAGTAAAACCCACAAGACCCCCAGTGTGATGCTTCTGGCACATCTGACCCCTGAAGCTCAGAAAGATACAGAACCCCTGTTTCAAAGTCTCCTGACATCTCCTTCGCCAGAGAACCTGGTGCTCACCAGGTGAGTTACAAAGGGAAGAGGCTAAGGATCTCTCAGAAAATATGCTTTACCCCTGAGAAGCTGAAAATAAAAACACCAATGGCATTTGCTTCAAGGGAGCTTCTCACTTGCACTCTGCTACAACTGACAGTCAGTCATGTCCTTAAAGTCTGGGAAAATAGCTTATGACAAGCTAGCAGTCAAAGAGGTATTTAATTTTTAAAAATCAAACCTAAGTAACAGTAACTGAAGATCCATTATGAACTGCCTCTCTAGAACAGGCCCTTCCTTCCAAGCACCCCAGCTTCCATCAGAATTTGCTCTGGTCTTGTCTCAAGCCACTAACTTGCTATGTGACCTAGAGCAATCACTCAACTTCTCTCAACTTTGCAGGATTAACAAAGCCCGACAACCTCTCATGATAAGTAGTTGATACGCTGATTTTTTTTAATTCATCAGAGTCTTAGGAGTATGATTTGAGTGAGATGGCCCCAGGGACCCTGGTTCCATGTGCTAAAAAACAAAGTTTTGAGCCTCAAAAGCTAAGGGCCAGACCTGGGAACATGGTGGCCACAAGAAGGTACTGCCCAACCCCATGCCTGCTCCAGTCCGGGCCTGTCTGGGAGACAAGCCCGTTGTCCTGCATCTCACTCAGCAAACTGCTATACAACAGAGAAGGAAAGGCCTTTTTTTCGGTCTCCAGTCAGGCCTCCAGACGACATTTGTGTTGGTTTTCAGGTTTCTCCCTCTGCAATTTGTGACTCTTTCTGTGCACAATGCTGAGAATATGCGCCTCAAAGTAAAGCTGGTGAGTGGTCGAGCCTACTACCTACAGCTCTGCGCCCCTGCGTGTAAACAGGACGCCCTCTTTTGTCAGTGGGTGGAACTCATCTCCCTCTTGAATGAGGAGAAAGCCAAAGCTTCCAAACTGTCAGAAGTCTCAAGCCTCTCAGAAGTCACAAATAGCACAGACATCACAGGCTCAACGGACATCATGGATATTGCAGCATTCACAGCTCTACAGAGCCCACCACTGTGCACATGTTCAGACCCCGTACATGCTGCAGAAAGCACTGATTTCTCAGATTTCACAGATGATGTCACCGATGTCACCGACGTCACAGATGTTCCAGAAAATGAGGTCAGAGAGACCCCAGATATAAATATTGTCACAGAAGTCACAGAAGTCACAGAAGTCACAGACCTCTGTGACGTCCCAAACTGCTCAGAGGTCACGGTGGTGTTTGAAAATGATGACATACTAAGGGCCAAGCAAGAGGAAAAGGTAAGAGACATGGCAGACTTTCATTCTTTAATAATCAAGAACAAGAGTGATAACCAAGATCATTCTTCTTGGTTAGCTCCTTGACACTGGTTATCAAAATGCTATGGAATGTGCTCTGAGTAACCTAATTTTAATAATGGGATATTAGCGCTGAGCCCTGGTATAAAGGAGTTGTAGGATGTATCCTGAAAGAGGCAGGGACCATCCTTACCAACAAATTTAACCCAGTGTCAGAAAGCTATGGTGGGATGGAAGGAACTTCTGGACCAGGGTCAGAAGACCTGGCTTGGACTCTTGACCTGCTGCATAGCTGTTTGGACAAACCACTGGAGCTGCATGAGCTGCATGAGTTTCCTCGTCTCCAAAATAAGGATATTAATGTCACATAATGGCTATTTTAAGGTTTAAATGTGTATAAAAGTATGCACTACATTGAAGGATGGGGTGAAATTTCAACAGGTAAAAGTGAGGGTGGGTATAGAAAAATAAAGTGCCAAAAGAAGTGAGTGGCTTTAGAAAAGGCTAATAAGTGGAAAAACACAGCTGTATCCAAGAAAGTTTAGTTCAGTTTGGCTGGAGCACAATATATGTGAAAAATATTAGGATATAGGTTTGAAAAGTTGTTTGCCAAATCAAGAAGCTTGGACATTGCTCTTTGGGCAAACTTTAACCATAAAAACCCTCTGTGTGAGGGAGTGAAGGAACTGTGCTTTTAGAAAGATTAATCTGATGGTAGCATCAATTGTAGATAAAGGCATAAGTTTGAGGACCTACTGCTGGAAAACCTCTGTGGGGCCCATGATAGAAAAATCATAAAGGGCAAGGATAGACATTTTACAGAAGAAGAAAACTGCCAATAAATATACTGGAGAAAGTTGAACCTCATTAGTAATCAAAGGAATGCAAACTTAGAAAAAAAAAACCTATAAAACTGTTAATTGAAAGAATAAAAATAGTCAATGTTAGTAAAATTGTGGCCAACTTGGGATTCATATAGATTCATGGTAGAGATAAGAACTGGCCCAAACTTTCTTGAAATCATTATGAATCAAGGGCCTAAAAATGTTTATACCCTTTGACTCAGTGATTCCATTTCTAGGAATCTTCCTTAAGGAATTAGTCAGAAATAAGAACGAAGATTTAGCTATAAAGGTGTTAATTATAGCAAATCTATACCATGTTTGTCAAAATGAAATAATGAAAATTTGGAAGGAACCTAAACATCCACCACAGGAGAATCACTAAACTGATACAAATCCATGAAGGGCAGGTGCTGTATTAATCTTTTTCAGAAGTGATCATCATATCTGACAAGATCATAGACAGTCAGTAAATATTTGTTAAGTGAAAGACTACTCTGTAGTTATTAAAATTGTTGGAAAAAACTTTCTTTACCTGGAGAAATTTTCATGATTGAAAAAAGTTGAGTGAAAAATGAAATATGATCCCTATTATATAAAAATACATTTATATGCTCACAAGAAATAGGAGGGGGAAAAGTCATATTATTAGCAGCAGTTTATTTCTAGATTGTGGGATTATAGGCAATTAATGTTTTCCTCTTCACACTTTTCTGAATTTTCTGTTTCCTACAATAAAAATAATTTTAAATCCAAAAAAATTCAAGCAGTTTTACACACAATTTTTAATGACATGAGGAAAATGCTTTTAATAAATTGTCAAGTGAACAATGTAGGATATATAACTGAAATGTTATCACAAAGCAGACATATAGAAAATAAATAGACAAAAAGCCTGAATGAAATGTGCCATAGGAGTAGTTATTCCTGGCCAGTGGCCCCAAGCAAGCAATAATTTTCTCCCTTTCACTTTATATCTTAAAGGATCTTCTAAATATTCTATAGTAAATATGTAAATTATGTGTTACTTTCACTGACAGGAAAAAAAAGTTTTTTCCTTAAGGAGGAGGGGACTGTATTATTTTCCAGGGAAGTTAATAGAGGTGGTGGATGAGGCGGTGGCTGTGGGAGGAAAGCACAAGTATGAGAGGATAGTAGAGAGACACAGTGTTTAGAACCAGCTGATCAATTGCTCAGAGGCCTGGGACAGATTCTGAGGAAGGCAGTGAGTGGCTGGGAGACGTGGTCCATTAATAGAACCCAGGAAATTAGGAGAACAGGTAAAGATTTTATGGTATTAGTTTTAGGTATAGGTTCTAAGTCTTTTGAAAAATGAACTCTTTTGTCTTAGTGTGAACCTCCTAACTCACGTCACCTATTAGATACTTTTTTTTTTAAGATTTATTATTTATCTGAAGGAGAGAGAGAGCATGAGTGAGCAGGGGGAGGGGCAGAGAGCGAGGGAGAGAAAGGGAGAAAAGCAGACTCCCCGCTGAGTGCAGAGCCTGACACAGGGCTTGATCCCAAGACTCTGAGATCATGACCTGAGCTGAAATCAAGAGTCGGACGCTTAACTGACTGAGCCATCCAGGGGCCCCTCACCTATTAGATACTTTTAAATTAAGAGCAACATCAGATTGGGGAGGAAGTGGCAAGGTATTTCTAGACAACCTCCCATGCCCTGACAATTCAGAAAAAGGAAATGCTATAATTAAGTGCTAATTTTCTGGTGTAAGCTGACAGTGGTGTACCTGGCCACATGACCTTCTGAATGTGCTGTGTCAGGTCCCAGACTATCAGCCTCCATACAACACCCAAGCCTCATTCCCTCAACATTGTGCCTGTGTACCTGAAGGAACTCAGTAGATATGAATGAAATGATTACTGTATTAGATATTTTTGCTCCATAAATCATCTATTTCTGTGTGATGTTCTTCTGTTACCTGATTTGCCGCTGTTTATTATTTTCAAAGGAAAAACTAGGAAACACTCTGAAGTCTGGGTGTCTACGAGATGCAAAAACTAAGAACGAGCTCAGAGAACCCTCAAAACATGTCACCATCTCAAATGTAGCACTGACTTTCCAAGGTGAACGATGTTTTCATACTACCTTGACTCAAGAAGAAAGTGAGACAAGTTCGTTCAAAGGGATGAGTGCCAGATCCTCTGAAATAAGGACAACTGAATTTAAAAGCACAGCTCTTGAGGCTGAAGAATCCAGGTATGTGAGGCAGAGAAATGCCAGGGGTGCTGAGACGGGGCGTAATGTAAGTAAGTATATGCTCTCGAGTCTCTGCCACTCTGGCATCTGTTGCTGAAGATTCTCAGCTATAGCTACAATGAATGATGACATAGTCAACTCTTGATTATCCACATTTGGTTTAACCTCATCTAATTTTTATTTTCCTGTCAACTTCTCACACCGTGCAGCTCACATTCGAGGCTACCTGGTATCAGCTGTGTGTGCTGAAGAATATAGGATAGAATCAGAGTGTCCACGTTTTGGAGTTAAGGCACTCATCTCCCAGAGTGACTATGGGCGCTCTTGCTTTTATCTTTATACTTCTCTCCATGTTCTTCTCTACATATTTCTTATGCTTTTCTACATTTCCAACAAATAACTTCATAATCTGAAAAAATTTTTTCATAATTTTATTTATTCTTTTTAAAGATTTATTTATTTAATATTTTAAATAGTGCAAGCAGCGGGAGGGACAGAAGGAGAGGTGGAGAGAGAGAATCCTGGAGCAGGCTCCCGGCTGAGCACAGAGTCTGACTCACAGGACTCCATCTCACGACCCTGAGATCATGACTGAAGCCCAAACAAGAGTTGGGCACCCAACCAACTGAGCCACCGACTGAGCCCAACCGACAGAGCCCCCTGTTTTCATCATTTTAATACTCAAGTGCAAGCTGAATGTGAGAGAGCACTGTTGTATTCTAAAGATAAAAGTTAATCCAATCATTTCAAAATAACACCTAAAAAGAAACCAGAGAAACATGTAGAGGTTTAAATGCTTACTTGAGCAAGAATGAAATAGGGAATGTAATGAATTATGTCTAAAATCTTTTTAAATATAAAAAACAAGCAGGAGAAAACAAAAACAAACCAAAAAAAAGAAAGAAATGAAAAAGATTATAAGTAATTTGAAGTGCTATGGAGTTCTTCAGAAAGAATGACAAAACAGGCAAACCGCTGGACAACTTTTTTTAAAAATGATAAAATTAGGGACGCCTGGGTGGCTCAGTCAGTTAAGCGTCTGCCTTCGGCTCCGGTCATGATCCCAAGGTCCTGGGATTGAGCCCCGCATCGGGCTCTCTGCTCAGCAGGCAGCCTGCTTCTCCCTCTCTTCCCTGCTTGTGCTTTCTCTCACTCTGTTTCTCTCTATCAAATAAATAAATATTATCCTTAAAATAAATAAATAAATAATAAAATTAGAAATTTAAAATGTCATCATCAGCTAATAAGAACAATAGTATAATGTTATTGAGAAAGATTATATACAACTTTTCTTTAATAACTTTGAAACCCTAAGTTAAATAAATGACTTTAACAAAAATGCAAGGAGGCAAAACTGGCACTTGAGAACACAGAAAAAATTTATCCAAGAGCTCCCATAAAAAAAAAAACATAGCTGTGACTTTTACTGGACAGTGTTTTAGATACTCTAAGAATTACCTCTATTTAAAGTTTTCTTTTAAATAATAGAAAAATTTTGTTCTCCTAGTTTTTTGAAGTAAATAATTTGTCTGGATTATAAAGCCTGAAAGACAACACAAGAAAGAAAATTCTTGATTAATCCTACTTAAGACAATAAATGTTAAATTCATAGAATCTTAGCAGGCAAAATGTAGAGAGCTTAATATAAAATTAAGGAAACTGTCAATATGTCATTGTTATTTAAAAGAAAAGCAGAAAAAAATCATGGATACCTTAAATACATTTGAGAGAATTTGATATTCTTGATAAAGAGCCACAAAATGCAGAACAGTTCTCCTTTAGCACAGTAAAGAGTATTTATTCTAAACCAGAGCCAACATTGTTTTTAATGAAGAAATTCTACAAGTGTGCTACTTAAAACTTAGAACAAATTAAGGTTGTTCCTATTAATATTTCTATGTGATATAATTTAAGGGAGTCTAGCAATTGCAGTAGAACAAAGAAATATGATAGATAAATATGAGATTTTTAAAAATCACTCTTCACAAATGGAAATTCATATTTAGAAAATTTGAGAATCGTCAAACATCTTGGTTTGTAAACAATTTTAGGAAGGTCACAGATTATAAGATAAACTCACAAAATATTGTTTGTTTCATGATTTTTATTAACAAACCAAAAATGCTCTGAAAAAAGAATGTATTTTTCAAAAGCAGCAATAAAAATCAAATATCTAGTGAGAGTGATTAGAGTCCTGTATATATGGAATTATAAAACTCTAATGGCAGAAACACAACTACAATAAGGAAAACTAAGCTCTCTATCTGGGCAGGTATATTTAAGACAACAGAGTAAGGCCTAAATTAATTTAGAAATTTAATACAGTACCAATTATCTCAATAGTATATCTCATAGAAATTGTACAATTATAGAAAGTACGTGGAAAAAATAGGGTAAGAATCTCAAGGAAACCATTGGGGCTGGAAAATGTCTAGAGGGACTCAGTTATATAAAATCTTAAGCCATATAATTAAAAGGCTATCAGAAACACCAGTAAAAAGTTTAGGATATAGAAATTAAGATAGTAAAATAGATTCAAACTGATAAAGGTTCAAAAGAAACATTAAAAAAAAGCAAAAGTCTAGAATATGTTGGTCAAAATATATGTTGTACCGCAAAAAAGATTTCAGATAGGAAGAGAGTCAAATATTTTAAAACTAAAATAAACTAGAAGAAAATGGGATGGTTGAATTGCCTCAGTTGCATAAGAAAGATCATTTCTCCTCCTTCGAAGCAACAGAAGAAATTTTCAATGGCAAAGTTTGATTCATTCATTCCATAATATTCACTGCATACTTTCTACGTGCTAGGTGCTGGGGATACGGCTGTGAAAATAAGTTAGAGGCTGTTTCATTCTAGTGGAGGATATAGATAATACACAAATAAAATACATTATTCCAGCTGGAGTGTACTGTGATAAAAACAAAAATAGAGTAACAGAATAGAAACAGGGATTTGAGGAAGAGGAAGGATATCCTATTGTGATCAGGGACAGCTTCTCTGAGGAAGGGCAGAGATCTGAAGGAAGGGTAGAACTCTTGGGGAACAGAGTTCCAGACTGATTGATTATATAACAATTATAAATATCTGCCCCCCAAATCATTTTAGGTAAATAAATACATAACAGCACAACAGGAAAAGAATAATAATAACTAGATAATCTATAATGGTTTTGCCTCCCATATATAGATATAGCTGATGGGAATTTCTAAAGGATCCAGTTAACAAATGGCTTAAAGTTATGATTAGGAAATTTACTCCAGAAGACAAATAAACAATGAGGAATCAATCTCACTAATAACTAAAGAAATACAAGTTAAGCAATTACCAGTTGGCTTTCAATTAGCTGTTAACTATAACGCTGATGGGTTCACTGTACATGGTGGGAACTTTCTAAAAAGTGATTTGGCAATTCATACTACAAATGATTATACCGCTTGACTTAACAGAACATGTGTCAAAGAAGTAATTCAAAAGGGAAAATAACTTAATTTAACACATGTTTTGTAGTTAAAACCTGAAAGTGATCCAAACGACCACTGGTGGCAGATCCCCATTAGGGAAAGAATAGAGAATTTCAATAAAAAGACCTATATGACTAATAAGGAACTACAAGCTAGAAAAGTAAAATTCTGAAAAATGTATATACAATGGTATTTTATTTCTACAAAAGGATGATAAGAAACCACAGTGTTTGGGCATAGTTGGTGATTAAAGGAATTAATATTTGTTGTAGCTATTGATAGATGTTTCCATTAAACTTTTATTGTGCATAATCATTATTATGATTACATGCATAATTTAAAATCAAAACTGATGCCAAGAGGCTATAATTGGATACATTAATTGGAAAACATAGCAGCTAGAGAATGAACTTTGCAGCCAGACAACCCTGGGTTCAAATCCTGCTTCCTTTATTCTTGCACAAGTTAAATTAATTTCTTCAGGCCTCAGTTTCCTCATTTGTAAAATAGGAATAACACTGACCATGTAGAGTTGTTGCAGGGATTAAATAAGCTGATATTAAAAAGCTCACATGTCAGGCACCTGGTAATTACTCAAAAAAAAAAAAAAAGAATTGATTAAAATAGGGAGGGAAGGAGGAAGGAAGAAAGAAAGGGAGGGATTGAGGGAAGGCCCACAGATTAGATTGAACACAGATCTAACATAGTTTTGACTTACATTGAATATAGTAGAAAGATGATTCTATACCTCTGAAGTAACCTTTCTAATATACCATCCAAAAACTGAACCCAGAGAACTGGGGGAAAAAAGCATAAAACTGATTAAATATTTTTAATGCAGTAAAGAAATTGAGGTTATTTAAACTGAAGAGAAAAACTGTAATAGGTGACAACTACCATCTTCAGTGTACAAGGAAGTACAGGTTTAAGGCGAAATTTAAAAAGTGGATTTAAGGGGCGCCTGGGTGACTCAGTCGTTAAGCGTCTGCCTTCGGCTTAGGTCATGATCTCAGGGTCCTGGGATTGAGCCCTGCATTGGGCTCCCTTTTCGGCAAGAAGCCTGCTTCTCCTTCTCCCACTCCCCCTGCTTGTGTTCCCTCTCTCGCTGTGTGGATTTAAAGTGAAAATTATTGTAACTAAACACAAAGAAAACTTGATTACATAGTAAAACAATATAGCAGATAACCAATCGATAAAAAATAATTAATGGATATCATTGATTAGATATTAATAAACAACAGAACTTATTTCTGGAGGTTGTAGAATCTTTCTCCCTAGAAACTTCTCAAAAACACACATCAGGCCATTTGTCCCGGATAGACTTCAGACATTCTCCTGCCAGGGATCAAGTCCCATTTGTGTTACATATGTAATTTTAATCTACTGCTAAAATAAATGACAGAACATATGGAGAAGTCAAATATAAGTATGTTCTGGAGATTCCTTAAAGGAGTGGAATGGAATGGAAACAGTTAATACACCTGAGTATGTTGTAGGGTCCTGAGAAATAGACTTATTAGATGCTCAGTAAATGATCACTATTGTCACTAATTATTCATTTCCAATGGTGTAGATAAAAGAAAGTTGGCTATTCTGTCTCAAAAACAAAAATAAATAAATAAATAAAACAAGAAACCCTTACTCAAAAAATATCTTAAGCAACTGAGGATTAATTACTCAAAGCTGGCTTCCTTTTTAACCATTTTTCCTGGCTAAGGAGGGGTCAAAAAAAGCAAAGGAATATGGGTGATCCTTAGGAGAACCAGAGCCCTTGAAATCAGAGCAATGTTTGCTTTCACTTCTGGACTGCCACAATTCTGGAAATTCTAGAGCCTCTAGATCCAAGTGCCAACACATTCCAGGATAATGATTTCAACACTTTTGGCTGTCTGCTCAAACAAAGCATTAATATCTAGGGCTTCTATGCCAATGATTCTCAATGTGTGGTTGGTTAGCATCATCACCCGGGAACTTGTTAGAAATGTAAATTCTTGGGTCCATCCCATCCTCCTAAATCTTAAACTCTGGCCTTCTGTGTTATAATAGACATCCAAGTGGTTCTAATGCACATTCAAGTCTGAGAACCATTGCCTTATGAGAAGCCAGTCCTAGACACAAAGGAGAGTTTAGCAAGAATTACTCTCTCATGAGGGCTTCTCCTGGGGTCCCATAGCCAAAATAAGTATTCCTTTTTATAGCCAGAGTAAGAACTATTGGTTCAAACTCAAGGGAGCCTTCTTCAGGAACTTTTCCTATATGACCAGGAGCTCTGAAATTTGGATTAAAAAAAAGAAAAGAAATAAATAAATAATTGGTTCAATGTTCAAGAAATTATCCTGCTTTGGATTGAGGGTGGAGAAGTAGCTGAAATAATATCCCCCAGAACACTGATCTGTTATTTCTTGATGGTAACAACCACTGAATTCTTTTGGGGAACTAAACAATGGCCAGAAGGGCTAATTGGTCAGTCTGATGTGTTAGAGGAGAAAGAAGGACAAAGACAAAGACAAAACCAGGAGACAGAGTAAGGAAGGGAGATGGAAATATCAACCATCAGTCCAAGTAATTATGGACAGGCAAAAGGAATATAAGAAGGAGGGGATAGAAACAGGTGCCACTCAGTAGGAAACGTATTTCACTACCACGCATGAGTATGGCTTTCACAGAAAAGCATAAGATCTCTAAAAAACAAGATAAAAAATGAATCCATTCAATTTAGCAATGTATTCTAAATAATAATTGATCAGGCTTGATTACTCTGATGTCTTCCTTCTGTTTTTTTTCATCCATATGTCTCCAATTCTATGACCTGCCCTTATCTAAGGCTTCAGAAACACCACAATTCAAAATCTCACGAAGTTAACTGTTTACGTCATTTCACCTTCTTCTTTCCTTGCCCTTTTGCACATAATAAATGCCCTAAAGCATGAGATTAGCTTTTAGTGCATTTAAAAAAAACTTTATAAAAGTAATAGGCTTTACTTTTTTTAGTTTTAGATTTACAGAAAATTGAGCAACTAGTACATAGAGCTCCATATACCCACCCCTCTGCCACCTCCTCACTCTCCCCGCTACGTCCAGTTTTCCCTATTATTAACACCTTGCATTAGTGTGGCACATTTGTTACAATTAATAAACAACATTGATACATTATCATTAACTATAGTTCCTAGTTTAAGTTTCACTCTTTATGTTGCACAGTTCTCTGGGTTTTGACACATACAGTGACATGTACCCACCATTACACACAAATAGTCTCACTACCCAAAAAAAATCCTCATTAGATTAACTTGTAATAGCTTTCTAAATATTAAAAATTGTAAGGATAACTTAAATTTTTAGGATGTAAAATGCTCTGTAGGTACAACGTTTTGTTAGTCTATTATGATCACAATTAGAAACAATGAGAAAATGAATTCCTATATAAATGGCAAACATCAAAGAATTTTAAAGATAAAAGGGATCTTGAAGGTTAGCAAATCCCAGATTCTTCAAGGCCCTGTGCCCTTCTGTCTGTCAGCTTCCTGTATCATTCATCTGCTGAGTCTACTAGGAAGAAACAAAGAAAAACAAAGCAAAAAACAAATTTTGGTTCCAAGCAATCCTATTAAGCTCAACTTAATCAAGGATGGATTATTTTTTATTGCATATTTGCATCTGGAACATAATTACTAGCTAGAGCCTAATTTGAGAATGTTCAATATGAATGAAAGATGTTATATCTAAGAACAGAATGGAATTCAGTTTATTCCTGGGACGTTTGGAGGGTTAAGTCAATATCCTGTGAGAGTGATAAGTAAGTTCTATCTATTTTTCTTCTCCAAGACCAGGGATTTCAGTGACATTTTATAACCATGTACTTTGGGAAAATGAAAAAAAAAAATTAAAGGATGACCTTGTTGAATATTTTGCCCTCAGATTTATTAGTCTTTAAAATGTAAATTGAGCAATTTCAATCTAAATGAGTGAAAGACTATGGAGATGTCTCTAATGTCACTTTAGTTCCTTTAAAAGTGAAGGATTTACTGTATGAATCATTTATATTCCTTCTCATACCTTGACCATAGTGCTACTATGACTCTTCCCTTCATTTTATTTATTTTTTATAAATTTCTTTTTTTTAAGATTTTATTTACTTGAGAGAGAGAGAACAAGCAGGGAGAGCAGCAGACAGAGGGAGAAGGAGAAGCAGACTCCCCGCTCAGCAGGGAGCCCAATGTGGGGTTTGATCCCAGGACCCTGGGATCATGACCTGAGCTGAAGGCAGATGCTTAAGGAACGACTGAGCCACCCAGGCGCCCCCCTTCCCTTTGTTTTAAAGAGGATAATGTCAGGCTTCATTTTAATTTGCACCTATTTTTTAAAGTACATTTACTCAATATTTCTCAGCCTCTTAAAAACTTTTATCACTAAGCTCAACCTTCATGTAAATCACCAGACCTATTTGGTGAAGGCTACGTGAGCATTTATTTGCAAACTTCTTAGAAAATTATTAATTTAACCTCTGTTTCAGAAAGATCCATTGTAGACCTCCACCTGGGATTTCTTTGCCAGACACCTCAAAACGGATCATAATTATGTCTCTATACATTTATCTGGGAAGCTATTGTCTGAGGGTAATTATTCTTCCCAAGTGCTCTCTTTTACTCAAACTGCAATGCTTCCAAAAAAATTTTGAAAATGTAGCCAAGAAACAAAAATTTGGTGAAAATTAAGTGACTGAAGTTTATGTTTCAGCATGCCAATGAGGTAAAGAAAATAAGTATTTTAATTATTGTTATTAATTTTAAAAATCAGGAATGCAGAAACCTTCTTTATCCAAAAGCGTTTTTGAAAGTGAAATGATCTGAAAAACTGACAGCTAGCCTCCTATCTGAGCCAGTAAACTATAAGAAATGCAGTTACCTGGGCAAATACTTGGGCATGTTATTTGCCTGCAAAATTTCCTAGCCCTGTCGCCCGCATCAGGGCCATAGAGATTGTGATGAAGAAGCCAGCAGAGGTGGGCACCTTCTAACGCCAGGCACCCAGAATCCCTCCCATGTCTCTATGAGAGCCTATATTCCCAACACAAGGGACTCTACACAAGCCCCTGGGCAGCAGCAATTAGCTCAGTCTCAGCCCCAAATGAGTTTTCAGACACTGGAGAGGCAGTAGGATGGTGATGCCCACAGCCTCACAGAGTGACAGGTGATAGATAAAATAAAAATAGATTATATGTTATTATATACTAGTCACTTTTATGGCTTTTAAAGTTAGGATAGCTTGCATGTTAACAGAAATGTAGGTAATTTTACTCTAAAATGTGTTATTATATAATACCCTAGGCTTGCTAAACATGTTTCATTATTACCTACAAAGCGTACAGAGAGTGGCCAGTTATCTCATACCTAGTCATTCTCTTCTAAATATTTGTGGTTACGCTGGCAACATTTTGAAACGTGCTGTTTGTTTTTACAGGAGCATGAGAACTGATTCAGTCACCTCAGGTATGGAACGAATCCCACTACATTTGTTTGTGATCTCTGGTATCTGGTGGTCACCTCTGCGCCTGGGAACAGAGTAGTTAAGAGCAAAGGAATGCAGCTAGCTCTTTTGATGCATTCCCTTTGCTCCACTCTGAGTCCCACCGTGTAGGAACTCTTCCTCAAAGCCTGTCCACACACTAGCTTTCAAGTAATAGGCATCTTGGCATTTTTTCTGTGCCGGTAGAGTACTGAATCCGACTCACTGGGCAGGAACCACTCCCAGGCCAGCTCTGCAGGCAGAACCCAGATCACAGGGCCTTTTCTCCTTGCTGATTTGGAAGGGGAGTGGTGTACAATTACATTTCTTGGTAAATCTAAGATCATCTGACCCCTCTTTTCTTCTTACTTGCATCTTCGGCTTCTGCTTCCTTACCTCTTCCCACGACTCAGGATCTTTTTACTTCTTAACAACAAGTTTTGACATGGGAGTTGTCATATAGGCACCAGTGGACATTGTGTCCCCTTGTTTGCTGCTGACCCACCTCTCAGCTACTGTCTAAGTTGGGGGGGGGTGGACCTCAGCTCCAGTCATGTGCATCAGAGAACACATGGAAGGAACAGAGGCGCACATTTCACTGGACTTAAATGAAAAGAAAAAAAATATTTCTATTTTAAAAACCAAGACCACGTGAAGGCAATTCTTAGTCACACTTTCAAGAGTCTTACCAAAAAAAACCAAACAATTTGAAGATAGGTGTTTATATAAGTGGGACTTTTGTCTGTAGGCCTTCCCACTGGGCTTAAGGTCCTAAAGTACCTGAAGAACTTCAATGAAATGTGGTTTTACCTATAGTCCAATCTATAGTACTGAACCTGAGGACACTGTAGGGAAATGCCATTGTAGGTTAGAAGAAAAATACAAAATCTCCTTTGCAGTATATAGAATTTTTACCTATCAATTTCTACTCCAAATTTTATTTCAAAAAGAAATCACAGTAAATTGATAGAAATTCCAGAGATTTCCAACAGGCCAACATTTTTCTCTTTTAAAAGTGAGGATAAATCATGCAGCAGTCTTATCACTAATAGCTAATTACTATGTTAGCATATAATTAGTACAATAGCATATAACAGCCATTCTGAAGCACTAGTTAGTTAAGCCTTGGGAATTTAAAGTTAATGTAGGATGTTGATAGATTTAGTTTCATTCTATATATGACTGATTCTTTCACCTGTCTTCTGGCACAAACTCAATTTTGTTCAAATGAACAAGCATTTATATTATATTTGAGGCACTGTAGAGAGATTAAAAATAGATAACAGGACATTGCCTGGCCTCAAGACATGGGCACAAATAATATAAAGTGGAATCTTATGGGTGCTTTAATAAAAGAAAGAAGTGGAGAACCTAGTTTTTGCTCTAGAGAAAATCATGAAAGATTTATGAAGGAAGGGGGCAGTCTTTGAGTTAGGGAAGGGGAAATAAGAATATCCTGGATCTAGGGTATAGTGTGAGCGAAATCAAAGAATGGGACAGTGCTAGGCTTAATCCCATTTAGGAACAGTGAGAGATGGAGCTGGAAAGCAAAGCAGGGCCAGATTACGGAAGTCTCGGGCCATGCTGGGGAGTTTGGATAGTACAGTTTGGTAACTAAGGAGGAGCCACTGAAAACCAGAACTAACAAAATTAGTGATGTATTTGGGAATGATTACTCCGACTGCGATCTCTAAGAGAGCTAGAGGAGGCTACAGATAGGAAGTCATTAGAATAGTCCAGGGTGGGGGCGCCTGGGTGGCTCAGTCGTTAAGCGTCTGCCTTTGGCTCAGGTCCTGATCCCAGGGTCCTGGGATCGAACCCTGCATCGGGCTCCCTGCTCTGCAGGAAGCCTGCTTCTCCCTCTCCCTCTATTTCGCCCCCTGCTCATGCTCTCTCTCTCTCTCTCTCTCTCTCTCTCTCTCTCTCTCTGTGTCTCAAATGAATAAATAAAATCTTTAAAAAAATAAATAAAAGAATAGTCCAGGATGAAAGGTGCCCAAGTCATGAACCCGGTGAAGAGAAATCAGAGGGCAACAAGGACTTGAATACGTAGTTAACAAGACTCATTGACTGACTACCAGTGGGGACAAGAGACAAAAAACAAAGCAAAACTAACCAGACGATGACAGAGTTTGGGAGACAACATAGCTAGGAGGTAATGGGTCCATGACATGACGCAAGCTGGGAAAATGAATTCCAGGAAATCTGGAAGGAAACGATGAAGAAACCAGCTTTTAAATACTGCACCTAGAATGAAAAGTCCCAGGTTTGAGTTCTAAATTGCACTTCCTCTGTTCCACGGATATGTCATTTAAAGTCTCTGGACCTCAAGCTTCTTCAACTATCAAATATGTGTGCATATGGGTGAGGAATTGAAGCAGGCGTGTTTGGTGTCTCAAGGCCCTTTCAGCTGCTATGATGTCATAAGCTGATGGGCCTGGTGGCCCATCTTTATAAATTCAGCAACAGCTTGAATGGGGCTCTGGAAATCAGGAGCTCAGCAAAGATACAGCCATCATGCAGCCGAGTTCCACTCTCAGCTTGTTAAATCACAAGGGTGGTACAATATACAAATTTGGCTTGCAGTTGTCACAAAGTATTAATTATTTTCCCCGTTTGTTTTCTTTCACATACTTTCTCACTCTTCCGACTTCTCTCTCTGTCTTCCCATGTTTTCTGACTTAGGCTTACATAGTTTTTCCATTTTCCCTCTGATTGGCATTTCCTTCCCCGTTTCCACACTCCTCTGAATCACTTTTCCCCCCTTTGGTACTTACTCACATTTTACACTTCTTACCCCAAGAAGAGCAAAGATTAGAATCTTAGTCCCTTGTCCCATTGAATTTAGACTGAATGTAGATGAAAAATGAGTCGGTGAATCTGATTTCTATTCTAGGCAGCAGAAACTAGGAACTGCTCCCCACTGCTATTAAACAAAACCCTGGTCAAGTTCACGTTCACGCAACTCCGGGACCATACTGCCTGGGGACCATGGTCTCTTATTCATGTCTCAAACCTCTCAGCAGTGTGACACTCTCCTCCTTTCTGAGTAAGGCTTGGTAAAGTGGCACTTCACATGTACTGTTTTTATAACAAGGCTACAGGGCAGAGCCCAGACGGACACTGTCTCTCTGGATCTGGGTCCATCTCTCCCTTTTCTTAGCTTTTAATTTCTTATCTATCTAGGTTTTACTGTCCTTAGCTCTGCTGATCTCTGTATGGGGAGCCCAAACTTAGGCTCACCTATGGTCCCACGGGATTTTCCCAGGATGGTAGGCAATTAGACAAAGGCTAGAGAGCTGAGAAGGAAGAGAGGGGAAAATTGCTTATGAAATCCTGGGCATGTCCCCTTCATCCAAACCCATCTTTCTTTTCCACCTTCCTCTGAACTATTGCAAATCAAATTCCTTGCAATCCTAAGCAGCCAGGTTCAGTCTCTACTTATGAAACCCGGTCTAAAAAGAGAAAGGGTGGGAGGACCCTAAAAGAGAAGCTGTTTGTGAAATTTAACAATGGGCTCCATTGGAAAGAATAAAGACATTTTTTAATTTAAGACCAAATTAAGTTGTCTCTCCTTCTGTGCTTTTTTTCTCTCCTGCTTCTGGCTTTCTTTTTTCTTCCTCACTTCCCTCTCTCTCTTCCACTTTTCCCACTATTTTTCTTTTGCCCTCTGGCTCCCTCCCCTCATGTCAAATCTACTTCCCTCAATCTCATGCCTCATCTGTCTCCCCTTTTCTCAGGGGAGTGGATGTGAGGAAAGGAAAGTAAAACAGAAAAAGAAAAGGCCAATGGAAAAAACATGTAAGACAACCAAAAGGTAATTTTTTTTACAAGTATAAGTCGCTATAGCTATAAAGGACAGATGTGACACTTGCACAAAAAGTTGTCAACAAATTGACTCTTTGAACATGGAATCTTATTACTTCTATTGTAGTAACAATAGAGGTGGAATGGGATGTTGAAAGTTTGTTGTGGTTTCCACCCTAGAATTCTTCAAGGGTCAAAATGTAATGTCAGCACATGGATTAGAGGGAGTGTCAGGTGAGGCACCTGAAGAGAATTGCTTGCTGCTGCTTTGACACGTGATTCGGTCATTCTCATTCCTACTCTTCCTGTTTGCTCCCTCCTCATACTCTTGGCAGGAACCACTTGGCCATACCTCGTCAGGGCTCCGCTATTGGAACTGAGGTGCCCACCCTTCTGTGTCACTCTGCCACCAAAGTCAGCTTAGCACTTGGGCACTTATTTTGTTAACAGGAACTCACCCAGATGCACGCCATGGGCCAGAGGTAGTGCGCCAGAGGAAGACAGAGTGGCCAAAAGATAACAAAAGTCCATGCACGATAATCCCCTGGTCTCTCCACACACTCCTCAGTCTGTGCCTGTTCTTTTGTCATTTCTTTCCCTCTCCCCCCAATAATACTGTCCCGTGGTGGTGGTGGACAGTGACAGAGTGGCACTCAGGGTAATGCGTGCTGGGACCTCCGTCCACCTAGGGCAAGTCCCAAGTCCTGTCATTTCTCAATATAGTACAGAATTTAGAAAGAGAAATTCATTAGAAGAGAGCTCAATATTCTACAATGATTTCATCCTTTGATGGATATATTATTCTATAACAATGAAATATCAAATATTAGGGTTTTATTAAGAGAGTGGCAAATGCAAAGAAGAGCAGAAATAATAATATACCTACCATATTTAAATCTTGGCTTCTGAAATTTAAAAAGTGGCTCCCAAATATTTAAATTGTGAATTGCCAATATATAAGAAAAAGTAGGTAGTTTTTTTTAATGGTGAAAAAATTTTGTTACTGACAAAGGCTTCATATTATCACAACTGAAATGTGAAAGTTACTTGGCCCCTTATTTACAATGAGCATATATCATGTGTATGTAAATATATACATATGGCTTATTTTGGGATGCAGTTTAGGACAGATTAAGGACTTGTAAATAATTCAGTGACCCATCTATAAATTTTAAAGACTAAAAGCCCATAATCTTAATCTTGACATCTTGATTTATTAGATTCTTACATGGGTAGAAATGGCTTTTATTTATCTTTTAAGATTGTATTTATTTATTAGAGAGAGAGTGCGGACATGAGGAGGGGGAGGAGCAGAGGCAGAGGGAGAAGCAGACTCCCCACTGAGCAGGGAGCCTGATGCAGGCCTGAATCCAAGGACCTGGAGACCATGACCAGAGCCCAAGGCAGATGCCCAACCTACTGAGCAAGCCAGGCACCCCAGAAATAACTTTTAAAAACAAAAATTTTAAGAAATTAAGGAGGTTTCTTTAACATCACTTCAACCTCTAGATTTCAAAAATGAGATCTTATCTGTCCAGAGGATCTTTATTGTTAGATTAAGAAGAGAAACTATATTAAAAAAATGCAATTTTGCTTATTTTATCACTTATTTTACTCATATTTAATTTTTTAATGTTTTATACTTAACAATAGTAACTTTTAAAATGTGCTGTATTTTAGACCTTTGAATTGAATTGACTTTTCCATCTTTTTTTTTTGTCAGATAAATACAAACTACTAAACTAAAACACAAGCATGGCTCAAGAAATAACTACCAACACAAGAGAAGAACCAAGCAGTGTCTTCCATGTGGCAGAAATAAAGGCTACTACTAATCAATCATTGAGCATTTAAATTCATGCCAATCTAACTTCTTAAATCTTGGTTATTATAATTGTGGATATCAATTTTAAAGGAAGGTAGAGAAATAGAACTATTAAGGTTTTCAATTCATAAACTCAATTTTTATCTGTAGGGCTTCTTTTCTTTGGGGTTGTTGGATAAATTTGTTGCTTTTTTTGGTTTCACTTTCCTCACTTGGACATTAGCCCAACGCTGTGTTGTTTCTACCATTAAGCACTATGAGGTTCTTGAAGGCGGGGACCATGTTCTTTCTGTCTCTGGGTTTTAAATGTTGAACATCTGGCCTGAGAGACAGTATTTGCTGAATCAATGAATGCCACTTCCAAACAGGTTTTTAAAAACTTCCATTCCTTTAAATATAGAAAAAGAACTATAGACAGTCCCCATCCAAAGAATAATTTGGATTTTTAAAAGCCACTACTTAGTCCTTTTCAAAACACTGCCAGTCATTCTCCCATGGGCTTTGCATGCCTTCTCCATCTTCACAACAATCTGAGGGTTATTATTATTTTCCTGTTTTATGGACAGATGGTGAAAGTGGAGCTTACAGAGGTTATTTGTTCAAAATCATGCAACCAGGGAAAAAAGATATCTATCTATCTATCTCAGATTTCACACAAATAGCATATAGTACTGGTATTTCTTTTCTTTTTTTTTTAATCTTTCTTTTCTCTACTTCTTTTTTTTAAGATTTTTTATTTATTTATTTGAGAGAGAGAATGAGAGAGAGAGAGCACATGAGAGGGGGGAGGGTCAGAGGGAGAAGCAGACTCCTTGCTGAGCAGGGAGCCCGATGTGGGACTTGATCCTGGGACTCCAGGATCATGACCTGAGCCAAAGGCAGTCGCTTAACCAACTGAGCCACCCAGGCGCCCAGTACTGGTATTTCTACTGTGACATGAGTTGCAACAAGGAATACATCTCACCTCTCCATCTTCTCCTTCTTGTCCCACAGACAAACCTCTAGAAATATATGGTCCAATATGGTAGCAACTGGGTATATGTAGCCAGTGAGCACTTGAAATGTGGCTAGTGCCACTGAGAAACTGAATTTTAAATTTCTTTTAATTTAATTTAATTTTAAAGATTTATTTATTTATTTGAGAGAACGAGAATGAGAGAGAGAGAGAGTACATGAGAGGGGGGGAGGGTCAGAGGGAGAAGCAGACTCTCTGCTGAGCAGGGAGCCCGATGGGGGACTCGATCCCGGGACTCCAGGATCATGACCTGAGCTGAAGGCAGTCGCTCAACCAACTGAGCCACCCAGGCGCCCCTCTTTTAATTTTAATTGATTTAAATTTTAATTTAAAAACTGAAGCAGTGTAGAATATTTTTTGCGTTAAACTTAAATGTGTTGTTTTGGTAAGACTACATTTTTTCACTTCAACTGCTGAAAATTTAGCATCTGAATTGAGATATACTTTTAGTATAAAATACACAGCAGATTTCGAAGAGTTAGTATGAAAAAAATAAAATATCTCAATAATTATATTGATTATGCGTTTAAATTACAATATTTTAGATGTATCAAGTTAAAATTTATAAATGTATTTCATCTGTTTCCTTTTACTTTCTTAACTAGCTGCGAAATAAGATCTCACAAAATTACATATGTGACTCACATTATATTTCTGTTAGACAGGAAAATCCTCTACCCACTCCCCTTGGCCCACAGCCCCAAGGAATTCCTCCTTCTCCTTTCTTTGCTCCAAAGATGAAAAGGACTTCTTTCCCATTTCCACAATCAAGAGTGAAGTAGTTTTCCATGCAACCACTATGGGATCACCATTAGGGCCACTTTTAAGTTATGATTATATATAAACTAACAGTTTCTAATCTGGAGGTGGCTGTCTCACAACAGAAAATATTTCCTTGAGAGAGATTATCTGGAACAAATTGATTCTGTGGTGAAGAAAGTCACAACTAAGACTATTATGACCTAGTAACAGAGTCCTTCAAGAGGCAGTACCAGACCACCACAAGTGTAGGGGACGATGTGGAACAACTTGATCTTTCATACATGATGGTCCCTGTACAACCCATTTGGAAAACAGGAAGTTTCTTATAAAGTTAAGACATCATATCATATAACCAAACAATTCTACTCTAGGTATTTACTCAGGAAAAATTAAAACATGTTCATAAGACATATGTTCAAAACAAGACTTGAACACAAATGGTTATAGGAGTTTTGTTCATAATAGCCCAAATCTGGAAACACCCTGAATGCCCAGCAACAGGTGAATGTTTCAACAAGCTGTGGTATATTCATACAGTATACATGTAGTCTATTCATACTACCTACCAACAACAGAAAACAAATAATGCAACAAAAACATGAGTGAATCTTAGAAACATCCCATTGAAGGAAAGAAATCAGATATAAAACAAAAACATGCAGGGTGCCTGGCCGGCTCACTCAGTAGAGCATGGGACTCTTGATCTCCAGGTCATGAGTTCAAGCCCCATACTGGATGTAAATACGTCCTACATGATTTCATTTAAATGAATCACTTTCCATGTACCACTTCGCATTTAATTCCCTCCAGCCCAGCCTCACCCCATACGACCACTGCTCTGATTTGTCTTTTTATAAACTGATTTTTGCCTTCTAAAGATTAGGACTTTTCCACGAGAAAAAAAGTTTGTAAGTCCCAGATGTCTGTTTCTACTGAGCTTTTGCAAATTACTAATTAGAACTACCTCCTTTATCTGATCTGTAATTTCCATTGGAAACTCCGTTCCTGACTGACTTCCCTGACCCTGTCTCATGGCCGGGATATGTATGCTTTGAACTGACACATCCATTAAAGGGTCACACATATAATAGTAATCTATTAGAAATTAGAAACAAGATATCTAAGCTTGTCAGAGACTCATGGAAG